AAAGAAAAACCTCTAAACAGTTTACAGTCTGTTTAAAAATATACATAGGCTCGGGAGAGAAAAGGAAAAGGATACAGAAAGTCCTTTTAAAAAAATAGAAAAGAAATAGAGTAGCCGATTGTGGTGGTGCACACCAGTAGGATTTGCTGAAGGAGGCCACGAGGAGCAGATGCCATGTAGAGAGACCAGGAAGATAGGATACGCATGCATTATCGGGTAGGATAAGGCCATGTGGAAACACATAGGTTAGTAGTTATGGGTTAATAATTAAGACAGAGTTAGCCAATAAGAACCCTAGATATTGGCCAACATTTAATAATTAATGTATCTCTGTGTGCTTATTTGGTGTTGAAGGGTGGTAAGACAGAAATTCCAGCAACACTGTATAGGATCACCCAGAAGCTTAGGTTTTAGTTGATCCCAGAGGTAGCTGAAGTGAAGACCATCATAGACACTTAGATTGATTCCATATCTTACCTTTGGTGAACAGTACTATAGCAAACATGAAACACAAATACTTCTTTGATGAACTATTTTAGTTACTTCCTTGTTGCTGTGATAAAAATACCCTGACAAGCAACACAGAGGAGAAGAGGGTTAATTTTGGCTATAGTTCCAAAAGGACAAAGTCCGTAAAGTCTGGGAAGGCCTGGCAGCAGGAGCAAGAAGTTTAATAACATTTTCATCCTCACACAGGAAGTCAAGAGAGAGAACAGGAAGTGGGACATGGCTGTCAACCCTCAAGCACTACCTTATATGATGCACTTCCTCTAGCAAGGCTCTGCCTTCCCAAGGTTCCATAATACCCTGCCCCCAAACCAGCATCACCAACTGGGAACCAGGTTCAAATACAAGAGCCTATGGAAGACATTTCTCATTGAAACCACAATACACACTGTTTTCATTCTGTCTGTGTGTGTGTGTGTGTGTGTGTGTGTGTGTGTGTGTGTGTGTATCAATATCATACCAAACATGGGACTGCTAGATTGTAGGCAGTTCTAAGTATAATTTTGGGGGGGAAACCATTTATTGTCCATATCATCATTTCTTCCTGAAGGCTTCATCTCTTCATGCTGGTTCAACGGAAATTGAGTACAAATGTGAGCTTGCAGTGGGGACATTCCTGTACCTCCAAGTGTAAGGGAGTTGAAAAGGGGGCAATGAGGACAGTGTGTAGTGCTTGGAGGAGCCTGTAGCCCAGAAAGTCCTCATAGCAGTCGTTATTACTGTGGATGGTGATTCTGTCCTCCCTGGTGTCCTCAAAGAATGTGCTACTTATACCCCAGTCTTGGTTGTTCTCTCCATGAGCATTCAGTTGCCTCTTACTCTGCTCACTATTACTTTGAAAATGGAAATAGCTCTATACTCCATTTGCTAAACTAAGCACAGATCAGTGGGCACCCTGGTCTGACTTGTTCACTGAACTTTCCCCAGTACCTTGATGAGGTGTTGTTCAATGTATTGTCATTGAATCCCATATCCATCTTTTAGAATAAACTAAAGAATTAGGGTTAGACTTAGTCACTGTGTCATTGTACCTCCTTTGGAAGAAGCCTGTGGTACAGAGAATGCTGTGATTCTGAACTTGGCCTTCCTTGGGGGCTCCAATTGTGTGTACAGAAGAACGTCAGAGACATGTGGTACCATCACTATCAAAAGCCTATTGACTCTGGCTCTGGAAATCCCCAATAGAATGATAAATAAGTTTCAAAAAATGCTGCTGATATCAAATTTTTAATTGTATATACTGAAGGCGGCATACTTTTATCCAAAAAACAAAACAAAACAAAACAAAAACCTAGCCAAAATATTATGTTAGCATCATTTGCAGTGCCCCATGGAAGGCCTGCTCAGGGATACAGAAGTCCTTGATTTCAGTTCTCAGAAGATAAACCCAACCCAGGGCAATGGTCTAGCTGCACACATGTCCAGCCACACTGTTCACAAGCAGTCAGCTGGAGAAGCTCACTTCAGCCAAGCATATCTTTCCAGAAGCCAAATCATGTGAGTCTCATTCCCAAAGGGATGTGACTACATTCCTAGGAACAATGCATTGCAAAATTTTGGGTCCTGAGACAGGGAGGCTGGACAACTCAGCTGATGGGGAGAATGAAAAGTCCCCTGAATCTGTTGATTAAGGTGGTACCCCTGGATCTTCTGTAGAAGGACAGAAAGCCTTTCCCCAAAGACAGGTAACACTTATTATTTATGGGGTGTCATGTAGGCTTATGAGGCACTGTGTGTGGCATCATTCTAATAAAAGGCAATTGTCAAAACTAGGAGGTCAGTTTAGACTTGACAGAACTTCAACCAGAGGCCTGACAGGACTATTGACCCTACCACTTGGCATTTGCCATTGGTGTCACAGTGTGTGTGTTCCAGCTGCAGGACATCAACTTTGCATTCCAAACACTGCTGGATTGGTGTTTTGGGCTCATTCCATTTTCTATGACTAATTTAAGTAGGATAGTCAAGAAGAGGACATGATGTTGAGCTTCCTGGAATCCAGCAGGCCTAGAACAACACACAGTGAACTGCATTTATCAAGAATAAAGTGAAAAATGACTGTTGCTTAGAAACGGAGAGCAGTCAGATCCATGGTTTGGTTGGACTGCTATCCAATCTGACTTTAAAAGTTGAAATTTAAAGTGACTGTTGCGACAAATTTCCCTTTCTACAATGTTTGATTGCTTTTAAAATTAATACTCATAAATGGTAAAAAGGAAATATAAAATAAATCTAAATTAAACTATGAAAAGTTTGATGCTTTTAGGTTTTTTGTTTTTGATGTTGGTACTGTGTAGCCCAGACTGACCTTGGTTTCACTGCAAAGCTGAGTGTCCCATCTGCTTCCAGCTGGTAAGAGCTGAAATTACAGGAATAATGAGCCCTTCCCATTACTGAGAAGCAGGAATATTTCATATGTAAATAAAATTATCATCAGGAATCATGTTATGGCTCTTGCCTTCTTTAGCATCCCTTCTCACTCAAGTCAGGGCTGAGAAGTAGCTCAGGGGGTAGAGAGATTGCTTTGGGAGCACAATGGCCTAAGATCAGGTGCTCAAAGCTCATGTAAAAGCCAGGTGCCGAGCTCAGGCAGAGAGAGACAGGCAGATCTTTGGGGCTCCCTGACCAGCCGTTCTAGCCAAAATGGCAACCTCCAGTTCTAGAGAGACCCTGTCTGAAAACAAATAAAAGAACGAACAATAGTGGTGAGCACTAGAATAAGATCCTACATGGGCACGCAAGGGTTAGAAAGTACTCCTGAACACACACACACACACACACACACACACACACACACACTCACACACACACACACTCACAGAGAGAGACAGAGACAGAGACAGAGTTCACAGATTCCTTTTTTATTCTGTGGCAGACCTCCTGGGCACCTTCCCCAGCACACTTTCCAAGGGTGAGGGCTGGGTTACATCACTTTGGATCTACAAACTGCTAAGAGTAACTGACCTCAGTGAGACTTCTAATGAAATGAAAATACACTCATGAATTCGCTCAAAATCCTTTTTTTCTCCCTCATTTCATAAAAGAGAGGGTAGAGGGAGCTGAGGAGACATGAAGGGTCCTTTCCACTTCTGTCACAGAGGTGACAGCAATTGAAACCCTAACGTGCCAGCTCTGAGGCAGGGAGGGAAAAGGCAACAGCCTGGGTTAAAAGAGTGATTGGCAATGATCAGAAGTATAAGTCAAACACGATGGATTTCAAAAATTTGCTCTACGTTGAACGCTTGCATCCTTCCCCAAATCCTTCTGCTGAACCCCTAACCTGCACAGTGACGCCTGGAGACGGGTCTTTGGAGGGTCTTTCTAAGTCATGAGGGTGAGGCCGTTGTGATAGGCTTGTACCTAACAGGAAGAGCAAAGCAGCATCTCTCTGTCTCTGTCTCTGTCTCTCTCTCCCTCTCTCTCTCCCCCCCAATCTCTCTCCCTCCCTCCCTCCTCTCTCTCTCTCTCTCTCTCTCTCTCTCTCTCTCTCTCTCTCTCTCTCTCTCTCTCTCTCTCACTCTCTCCTTCTCCTTCCCTCCTCTCCTGGCCTGTCCCCTTGCTTACACCAAGAGGCCACATGGTACAAGGTGGCCTTTGACAGGCCTGGAAGTCCACACTGACTGGAACCTGACTTCCGGGACCCTGATCTTGGACTTCCGTTGACTAAGTAGATAAACACCAGGCCTGATTTCTGTTTTCCCAGGGAACTGTCTTGTCATCTACTATGGTTTTCATGTAGGAGGAAGCACTCACAACCACCTGTAACCACAGCTCCTGAGGATCCAAAGCCCTCTTCTGGCCACCACAGCACACACAAATGGCAAATGTTCCCAGAGACATGAATATAAATAAAATAAAACATAAATCTTTTTTAAAAAAGAAGAGCTCTGGTTAGAGATTAGGAATGGTTGTAGGAAGAACTGCAGATTCTTAGGAAGAAAATGAGGGTAATGGAATGCACCGGGAGAGGATGGGAACCAGCCAGAGGGGACAGGGGAAGGGCAGTGGGGGAGGGAAACAAATGAGAACTAAGAGCAATGACACCTATGTATGAAAATATCAGGATACAATCCATTATTTTGTATAATGACCCAAAACTAATTTAATGTATATGTACACGAATATATGCATGTATGTGTGTGTGCACATGTGGATGTCGGAAGTACAGAAGTTAACATTGGAGTGTCTTCCCTTTTTGCTCTCCGCCTTACATTTTGAAATGGTCTCACTGGATCCAGAGCTTACAGAATGAGTTGACTGGCTGGCCAAAACCCATGGGGCCCTCTTGCCGCCCCTCTACCAGTGCTAGGGTTACAGATAAAGGTCAAGAATCAGCTAGTTGACTGTTTTAGCGTTTTAAAGATTTTTTTAAAATGCAGTACAATGAATCTTTAGGCATTCCATGCACATTGATTATTTTAAATGCAATCTTATTTTTTATCTGCATAGTGTCTTATTCACTACAACTATAGAATGAAATCATCTCACCATCCTTGGCCATATAAGAAATAAATTATTTATTCATAAAAACATTCATTTCCATTGTTAATTACAAATCCCACCTCATTTGTGGAATGTTCCCTAGTGGTGACATCCTCCATTGGATGTGACTGTCACTCTGCTACTAACCCATAACATTGACTTTGTGGCCCTGTGTCATCTTTTAACAGCATATCTGTTCATGAAAACATGAGTCAGGAGTTGCTTTGAAGAGGACCCCAGGGTTCCAGGAACTCATAAACGCTCCTAGGAATGAAGAAGAACTCTGAAATTTGGTCTATCAAGGACACCATACCATCTGAAAGGGAAAGTGGATATGTACATTTCAGACTGGGACATTACTATTGCAACTTCTTTGGAAGCCATGTTGGAATGTTACTGTATAGTTATCAGTGCAAGCAAAGTAACTCATCTTAATAATCAATTGTTTTTCTCCTAAAGAAGATGTAGTGGGAAATCTGGAGGGTAAATAAGGTTAGACTCCTGCTTGTTAGCTGGAAAGCATTATAATGCCTCCGGTTCTTTTGGAAGACAAATTGTATCCACAGGATTGCTCCATAAGGAATCTAGCTTTTTGACCAACTCAGTGGCTAATGGAGAGTCTGGTCCTTTAGCTGACTGGATTCCCACTGACACCTGGGAGGCTCTCTCTGTGTTTATCTGGTTGCTATGTTTTGGCATCCCCTGCACATGTTTACAGACTTTATCAGATGGGCCCAATGACAAGGACACAGCTTGGCAGTGTCTTTGGGAACCAAGAGAGATATCTTCTTCAGCATTGGGATTTAACACCTTCCTCTTGTCAAGACAGACCATTGCTGTCCTCAGAAGTGCCTAATCAATGTGGGTAGCTTGGCAAAGTCTGTGAGTCCCTACAGTGACTGAGAAGGAACAAAAAGCAACTTCTTGGCTTAGTAAATGCCCTCATGTCCTCTGGAACCTTGAGGACTCTCAAAGCAGCTCTCCACATCTTTCATTGATAAGCAATCTCTTAAACAGGGATGTATGGACAAGATGAGGGCATGCTTGGTGGGGCCCAGCTGCATAAATGAGCATCAGAGGAGGGCAAGAGAGTTCAGGCGACTCTTGGCAACTCAGATCACAGTTACAGGTAGATTCTTGTTAGTGCAGAAGACAGGTTTTGATATATGTCATGGCATTTGTATCTGTGTTTGGTATTGTTTGAGCATATGCCATCAACAAGGACATAGCCGATTTACTCAAGGACAAGCAGGAGACATAATGAAGTCCTGCTTATGCCAAGTGCCCTTACACCAATGTGACCACTGTCCCCTCATCCACTCCAAAGAGTCCAATGAGTAGGTCGCAGGGATTCATCGGGCCTCACTTTGGCCATGAGGTCCTTAAGGAAGTCGCCATATGCAATGTGGTCTTCAGGTTGGAAGTCCTTGAGGTGCAAAGGAGTTTGTCTTAAGTCCAAACCTCCATGGGCACAATTGCTTCTTTGGTTCCTACAGAAGGCAGCAGGTTTTCTTCAGATAGGAAATAAAAGGGGAATTGCACCAAGAAGCCTCGGATCTTTCTCAGTTCTTCCTCAGCACGAAGGGGATCATCTTTTGCTAATATGGGCTTGCTTATAAAGTCTCTCAGCTGCATTAAATTGTGCACTTCATCATTTGGAAGGCAACGGAACACCTGTTAAAATACAAGTTAGACGTTGAGTTATTTATTTAAAAACAAGCACAGGTTCCTTATGGAAAATGTTCATTCTAACAGGCAAAACCTTTGTTTATGGAGCATTAACTTTCTGTCAAAGCATAAGCTTAAGGGTTACTGTTTACAGCTGGGCGGAGTGACACATGCCTGTAATTCCCCAGCACGTGGGAACTGAGGCAGGAGACTCAGAAGTTTAAGGCCAGCTGGGCTATGTAGTAAGTTCTGGTTTCAAACAACCAACCAAACCAAAGAACTGGAGTTGCTGTTTTTTTATGCTACAAAGACACTGTTAGATTTGTTTCCATTTTAAAAGACCACACCCACATTCTTACTTTATCACCTATAGTGCTCATTAACCACAGAATAAAGACAAGCTGGCAGTGAGGAATGCTTGCTAGGAAGGATATGTAAAAATGATAACCATCCCTGAATTTCACTAGAGATCCCTGTCTAAGGGGGAAACATCACGTCCTCTTTCTCTGACTTTTCATTTTGAAAGATACACATGTCATCAAGTTCAGTGTTAACAGTTGTTAACAGACAACCCTTTGCTAAGAGAAATATGTTTCAGACACCACAGTGCTTTACCCCTGCATATTTTAGCAGGTGTTACATAAAAATGAGGACAGGAACTCACAGACTCAACATCATTCCTGTACCCAAGAGACTCAATTCCACGGGGTCATATGCGGATTTATCCCATTACCACCAAAATGTCTTTTCTCTCTGTTTCTCCCCAATTTCAGGGGCTGAACAGGCCGCACAATGAGTTTGTAATGTTCTGTTGGCACATGGCCTGCTTCAGCATAGCCTGGAGTCCTCAGGACGAAATAAAGCAACGTAGATGACTGTCCTGTCCCACTGAGAAGATGGCATGTCTGTGCAGAGGGGTCTCTGGGAAACCCATGTAGGACAATTCTTACCCAGCTTCTCACAGATGGTCAACAAATATGGATTTTTCCTGAGGTAACCTATTCCACCATCAAGCAATACTTAACTCTTTAATAACCACAGGGAGGAAAGGAAAGCTCAGAGAGCCAAGCTGCTGCACACAGTTCCAGGGGACACCAGCCAAGATGGGTTGAGCACACCCTACCTTCTCTTTGTCATTAAATACCATTAAAAGCTACTTAGTCATGTGCCCATGATGCTTTCAATGAGAGCCCTGCATCCTATGGAGGACAGGATGTCACTAAGGCCTTCAAAATGATGGCCCAGGGCCTTGTGCATGCTAGGTAAGTACCCAACCACTGAGCTACATTCCCAGCCCTTTGATCTTTGAGATCGCTTTACAACATGGAGGTTTATTGATTATTTTACACTAGTAATATTCTATCTGTATCAATAAAATTGTGATGGTGATGAATTTAAAAGGGCAGGGGTAGGAGTGGGGACAGATGAGTAAACCTCACCTTATCGTAAATGGTAGCATTCCGAGCTGCTGTTGAAACCCAAATCTCCTTGAAGAATTTGTCACTCACAGGATCCTGAAGGTCCTCACTGGGATCAGAAAGATAGCCAAGGACAAGCCTGAAATACAAGAGACTTCTAATTGAATGACCAAGATAAGAAGCTTGCAGTAGTAACAGCAAGGCAGATCAACCACAGAGACAGAAATCTTTCCAAGGGAAGACACAGAAGCCATTAAACCCATTCAAACTTCATTTTGTTCTAAAAGAATCCTTGTAATGTGGCCCAGGATGGCCAGACCCTTGACCATTAAGGTTAGCATCCAAACAGTGGCCAGAATGTAATGTGAGAAGCCTTTTCTAAGGATTATCTCACTAAATCCCAGCTGCAATTATGCCCACTTTACTGGTAGAGGGAATGAAATCAGAAGAGTATAAAAACCTCTCCTAGTTCATACTGCTGGTAATAGGTAAAGATGGGACTCCTCCATGTGATGTGATCTTCTGTTTCCTTCCCTGCTTCTTCTATACTAGCTCCGCCCCCTCCCTTTGATCCTACTCTCCCATCCCTTTTGTCTTTCTTCCCATCCCTTGGGTCAAGCACCATGCTCAACTCTTGGATATAGACAGTAAGAGTAAGAGTAAGAAAAATACAACTTCTCTTTACGTAGTTAAATTAGGTGAATGAGAACAAACTGTGAGTCCTGTCAAGAAGAGTTCATTGCCATTGTCACAGATAGGGTAGGTGTTGAAAGGGGTAGGTGGGTATGGCTTAGGAGGTTTTCCCTTCTCCCACCAACTCCTGATGCAATGGCTTTGTTTTTTTGTTGTTTCATTTTCCCCCTTTATTGAAAATACTTTTTTCTCAGACAACATATCCAGATTATAGTTTCCCCTCTTCCACTCCTCCCAGTTGCTCCCCATCTCCCCTCCCCTATAGATCCACTCCCTTTCTGTCTTTTATTAGAGAAGGACAGGCTTCTAAGAGATAACAACCAAACACGACAAAATAAAACATAATAAGATAAAGTAAAAGCCACACATCAAGGCCAGACAATATAGCTGTGATGGTTTAAGACTCTGAACAAGATCGCTCTGTCAGCCCTTCCGTACCTGCCCCGCTCTGGTCCTACAGATGATGCTGGGTAGCCTAGCACTTTCCCCACTGTCCTCATGTGCTTTGTTTTCCTTAGAGCACCTGCAATATTTTATGTCATTTTTTTCATCAGGCCCATTTGTCACTAATAGAATACAAATTATTTGGGAGAGCATGGCTTGGCTGTTCTCATACTTCATCTCTATAAGTGTCTGGCATAAGAAGTTACAAGTTAAGATATCATCTAAACTTATCACGTATAATCAAGAGACAAGAAATAGCAAGAAGGACTGGAGAGATGGCTCAGAGGTTAAGAACACTAGTTGGTCTTCCAGACGTCCTGAATTCAATTTCCAGCAATCACATGGTGGCTCACAACCATCCATAATGAAGTCTGGTGCCCTCTTTCAAAGTGCAGACATACACGCAGGCAAAACACTGTATAAATAATAAATAAATACATCTTAAAAAACAAAAATAAATAAATAGCAAGAAATCACCAAGTGGGAACAAGACAGGTTTTATTAACCATATTAAGGAAGTATAATAACCCTTGTTCTTAAAGGAATCTGTAGATTAAAAAGCATTCCCAGTTGCTGACCACATCAGGAGACCCTGGTTCAGAAAGTAAGCCTGGAGCTTACGCAAAGCCTTTTGCATATACCATGTGAACTCAGCAAACACCAGGAAGGCCTCTGCCAACTACAGAACAAATGGAACACAGGCCATGTGAAGACTGGTTTTGATGGTAAGTGAATGAAAGGACAATGCACTGATGACATCAGACAGAAGGGAGATAGGACCTGGCTTACACAGTAAAATATAAATTCTGAGCAGAGGCAGGAGGATTGCTGTACGTTCAAGAACAAGCCTGGGCTACAGAATGAGATTCTGTATGTAAATAAATAAATAGATAGATAAATAAATAAGAATAACTGGACAAGGAGACTCACTCTATCCTGCGTATATCTCTAGATTCAGATAGACACACACACACACACACACACACACACACACACACTGTATTAAAAACAGACTCTATGGTAAAGAGTTGAAACAGGAAGCCTGAGATGACAGTGACTGTTTGGGGAGTAGAAGTTTTGCCAGTAGAGTTGTAGCTGTTAGAAAACTGTTGGCCTCGAGGACAACTGACAGAGAAGTGACATTGCCATCTCCTGGTGGATTCTGTGGGTAAGCCCAGCTAGTGTGCAGAGACTGGGATAGACTGACGTTGATTCTGTCAATCCATCACATGAACAGTGGTGACACTGAGTGGGCATTTTGTTAAACAAACCTTGAGTTTGAAAGACGCTTGGCTGGAAATGCCAACCTTCCAATTGCCCTAGTTTTTATGCTCATAAAACCATTTTTTGTAAAGAGCTCCCTAGGGGAGTGAGTGGAAACAGTGGGGATGACCCAGAGTAGCTGGAGGAGAGAGAGGCAATGGGCTAGGTTGGAGAAAGACCAGAGGAGACAGAATCTGTAATCACATGGAAAACTGGGTCAAGGAGAAATTGTCAAAGTTATGCAAAACTGACTTCTGTGATCTAAATATGAAAGGTCCCCAACAGGTTCATGTGTATGAACTCGTGATTGCCAGTGGGGTCATGACTTTGCTTCAGGAGGTTGTGGGATCTCCAGGAGGTTAGCTTTTAGGAGAGGAAATGTGCCCTGCAGTGGGTCTTGATATCCTCCTTTCTTCCCTCCCTCCCTTCTGTCTCTTCCCTTCTCTCTCTCTTCCCCTCTCTCCCTCTCCCCCCACCCTTCCTTCCTGATGAGGTAAAAGATGGGATCAGTCACCCTCACCTTTTGCTACATTGCTTTTCCCACTACGGTGGCATTGTGTCCCTTGAACTGTAAGCTAAAGTGAGCCCTCTCATTAGCATGCTTCTTGTCAGCTGTTTGGTCACCACAAAAGGAAAATCAACCAGCACAGTGACGGCAGTTTAACAATGTGGATACCATCCTGTTGCCATCCTTTCCGTGCGTAAGCAAATGCAGACCTATATCACTGTTAATGGCTGTAGAGTTCCCCATCATGTGTACTCTATGTAACCAATTATTTTATGATGGACATTTGTGTCATTTCCAATAACAATAATAAGTACTTATTACAATGAGCAAATACCATAATGAATGCAGTTTAGGTATAATATGTAACATTTGGTGACTTTCTGCAATCATAAGGAGGAATTCCAGAATGAAAATTCCTGGGTTAAAGACTATATGAAACTAGGTGGTAGTGGACCACACCTGTTCCACTCCCATCACTCAGGAGGCAGAAGCAGACTGATCTCTGTGAGTTACAGGCCAGCTCGGTCTATAAGGAGAGTTCTAGGACAGCCAGAACTACACTGAAGCCCTGTCTTGAAAATAAATTTTAAATGAGAAAAGAAAAAAAAACAATAGTAACTATTTGAGAACAGACTAACGTACCATACACTCTCCATGCATCTCCAACAACAACTTGCAAAAGTTCAGTCTATTTCACAGGTATTAAAGGCAATTGGCTTCCATCTCATTCTGTACTTTTTCTGCTACATAAAATCTCTCTAAATCAAATGCTAGGGGTATACTAGAATTATTAAATTTTATAGCCTCAAAAATTCTATTTCTATTTCAAATAATGTTTCCTTTTGATTACATGAGAATAACTATAAAAACAATGACCCAAACAATGTTTTCACACCCCTGACTAGCTGCTGAGAATTCAGGCAAAACTTTATTGCACTAAATTTGAAGAATAGAAAGGCTATGACAATGAATTAATTAGAATAGCATCATTAACTTGGGACACATCTAAGAAGCTAGAAACTAAGCATTAGGAGTATTTCCATGAATTTATTCTTTAAATAAGAAGTGAAATAATAAATCCACCAATTTATGAGTTAAAGACTTGTTTGTGGGGAAGTTATTTAAACAAGTCTATAACCAACAATACTTAGTTCTACAATACTTTCCCTCGTCAGCATTTAACTATATGAAAATGAACAACTAAATATATGAATAAGTTTGGGTGGCCTTCTGGGGACAAAGTTTGAAAGAAAATGACCTTGCTTATATACCTTCGATATGTATTAGATATTTAACCACAAAATTATGGAGGCAGAAACATTGCAAAATATTATCTCTGTTCTTTGCATTCTGCACATCTCCCATCTTAAGTGGTTCCGAGCTCACCTGTGTGGCCATTGACTTCTGGGGAGTGATGTTTGTATCTGTAAAGCCGGGCACTTTCCTAGGATTTAATGGACTGTTTGGCTCATGGCTGTGACATTCACTGCAGACCCCGGAGGTTGATTCTGTCTCTATTTAGAATTGATTTCACATTGAAATGTGTCTCTCAATTTCTATTCAAAAATAGCCCAGATGGAAATGGATTGAAGTTGCATGTTAAATGGCTGTGCTCTGGGCTACAATATTTATCTATGGGAACACTTCCAATAAAGGGAAGGAAAACTGACAATTTTTGTGGTGCTTTTTTAGATATATTATCTGTATTTGCCAATAGGGTAAAGTTAAAATCATTGTTCAAGAACAATAGCCTTTTTAAGAGTGTACAAATTTCCAGGAAAAATACTACACCTGGGATTAACTTTTCATGAAAGGTACAGGTTCAGCATAAAGGGGAACGTGAAGTTTTACTAAAGATCAATCCTCCTGTTATAAAAATCCCAAAACTTCAGTAGAGAACAAAGAACTGGGCACTGGGAGATGACTCAGTTGATAAAGGGCTTGAGTTCAAGCCCCCAAACCCACAGTGGTATGTGCTGTTAGCCCAGTGCTGGAGAGGTGAAGATCCCAGGGGCCTGCAGGTCAGTCAGACAGCCTGGTGTAATTGGTGAGGCTAGTGAGACAAGGCTTGTTCGAGGCAGCCTGGCCTAATTGGTGGATTTCAGGCCAGTGCGACCATGATTCATAAAGAAAATGCACAGCACTGAGGAAGAACACAAAGTTGTCTCCTGACGCCTACATGCATGTATACACACATGCACATGCGCATACATGGGCACCTGCACACACAG